ATCTACATCCGATTATACATATAAGTGTTTCACTAAACAGCCCGTAAAGATAAAAATATAGACGATAGCAGTGTGTGTCTAAACAACTTCCCGTCAGGTCTCACGCTTCGTTGCCTCTAGCAAGCCCTTAACGTATACGTCAGCATCTACAATACAATCGTCGGGAGCGCCTTCTTCTCTACGGAGGAGCGTTTCATCCCCCATCACGATACTCTGCTCTCGCAGTGTCCTCAGTCAAATGCGACGGCCACGTCGTAACTCGGAGATGTCGCGAAGAAAGCGTCTTTCCATAGGCAGCGCTCGGAAGGTGCCACACAGGGTGGTGATGGTGGCGGCGGTGGTGGTCCGTCAGTCGGACGAATGGAATGTAAGTGTGCTCGTGTCGGCGGCGTGGGTGTACTGGTGGAGGAGGTGGCGGAGGAGGAAGAGGAAGAGGAGGAAACGGGTAGGAGCCGTCCGCGGGAAAAAGGAGAAAAGGGAGTGAATTTTTTATCGGTAAAAACTCCATTAGAGAGAGAAAAGCGACGGTGTTTGTTATTGGTCATCCTCGGGGAGAAGATGGAAGAGTAGGGCAGGGTGAAGGGGGAAGGGGGGAGGTCTTGTCCAGCGCAGAGATATCCATCGATCCGAAGGACGGTGGATCCGCCACCGTCCTCGAATCTACCCCCTTCTTACATTCTATATCCTGGGGAGGATTCTCCCCGTCCTTCACCCCCTTCACCCACCAAGCTCCTACGAGGGTGAAGCGACGAGAGAGAATGAGTAAGAGAGAGAGAAGATATGTGTGTATGTGAGAGAGACTGAAAGAGCAAAAAAGAAAGAGAGAGAGAGAGAGAGAGAGAGAGAGAGAGAGAGAGAGAAAGGGACGTCCGTCCCTTCCTACGAGAGCTCTACGTACTACGTACGCAGGCAAGCATCTACAATGTTCCTTTGGCGCGGGTGGTATCAAAGAAATCAATTACCCAGCAACACACACGAGTCCTGCACCCGATCTCCACACGGTCCACCCAACCTAGCCCGTTCTCCGCTCTTTCCCCGGCACGGAGGCAGCGTCGAGCACTCACGCCCTCTCTCCAGGCGTCCATCTTTTCTGGAGTGCCACCCCCTGCGTCTCACATATTTATTTTATACTGCCCGCACACCTTGCACGACCATTCCCGGCCTCGGGATAGAATTCTTTATCAAGCCGACCTCCCACAGCAACGGAACGGAACCTTCGTCTATCGTCTATCGGCCGAATACGCTCTCGAATTGAATCGAAAAGCGATATCAGATGTCATTTTCGCGAAATCTAAGCGTCCGTGTTTTGGTTTCGCAATGTAAATGCATGTGTTACGACTCGACACGAAGTATTCATTGTCGAATTATTTAAAGAAAACTATCCTACAAAGTTGCTATACTCGACACGAAGTATTCATTGTCGAATTATTTAAAGAAAACTATCCTACAAAGTTGCTATACGAGCCATACTTTGAAAAAATATCATTTTTATACATAACAAATCATAATCATTTATGTGTTTCAACGTAATGTGGCTTCTCAGAGTTGATCGTAAGCCTGACCGTCGGGACGCGGGTGTCGAATGTTTCAGGAAACGCTCGAAATCGGTGAGAACCCGTTTATCAGGTTGCGTGGTTGGACCCCCAAATCTCGGGGACGGTACACGGTATTAATCTAAACTAAAAATGGTCCTTCTCTCGCCTAGTCGGAGCGTCGCCTTCGAGAGACAGGCCCGGAATCAAATGGATTGCGAATGGACGGAGAACAATGGGAGCGAACGAGAGGAGACAATGGTAATGGTGTAAGAGGAATGGAAGAGGAAAGGAGAGAAAGCGAGAGAGAAGGACGGGGAGAACAGGGGCAGACAGCAAAAAAGAGAAGGAAGAGTGAAACGGAGAAAAAGAGAGCCTCAATGTGGCATGGGAGGATGGAGGACGGCCGTCGGAATAGCCTCAACTGGACAGCACGTGGACGACTGGACTACCTACTTTTATATCGCTCGGGAAATAATGGGATTCCCATCATGAAGTGGATTTCCCTTGGGAGCCAGTGGACATCGATGCACCCGTCAAGAGATCCAACACCATCCGACGCCCGTATCCTATCGGTCTCCTACACCCCCGCCACGTTCATCATTCCTGCCTCCCCCTCCCCCTCCTCCCGCACTCATTCACCTGCTCGGATTTCGCGACACACGCGACAGTTCAATTTTATCGTATCAGAAAAATAATCTCCCGAATGTATATTATATAGTAATAATAATTTCATATATATATATATATATACATATATAAAATTATGCACTCATACATACAAAAAACATGATGAAAGCAACTATATAGGTGACAACTGTACGAGTTTTGTATGTAGAGAATTATAATAAATGCATATAATTTAATAAACTATTTTGTAATTATCACAACTAAAGTTTTATAGTTGCGACCACTACACATAATTTATTAAGCTATACATATATTAATTCTACGTTCATTAATTCTATATACATTAATTTTACATACTCGTTGTTACCTACACAGTTACCATCATCATGTCTTTTTCTCTGAGTATACTTCTAAAGTTTTATATGTCTAAAACTGACTTTAAATAAAATTTTAAATTTGGACGCCTATGTCAAAAACACCCTGCAAATGCGCATATGTAATACAAATAACGCATGCATAAAATATCAGATCCCTGTATACTGCATTCGACCCTACATGCTGATTGAGGATTCTTATGTACTATATGCGACCCTAGAGAGCGGAAACAAGCCGATGTTTGTATCATCGAATCTGACGCGTCAGCATAAGTACCTCTTGTAGAATATACGCATGTAAACGGAGCTCAAGAAGTGGTACTGCCCGCGTCAGTACTTTGTCAGGACGAAGGGCTCGCTTAACGTTCGAATCTCAGAAGCTTTCGGCTTCGTACCGACCGCGATGAAAAACGCCAACAGCCGGCATGTACCTTACATAAAAGAAAAATGATTCTACTCACTTAAACTCGCGCGATTCTTCCGACTAATGATACTTTATTCAGATAGGGAGAGAACACTGCAAAAAAATAAATACTATAAATATTAATAATATATATATATATATATAT